TTTTTTTTTTTTTTCTAATTTATTTTTCAACTACAAAACATTTTCTTATATTTTGTGACCTTTTCAAGATATCATTTGGGAGACTATGGCGGTGAAATCCTTAATGAAGTGAAAATCAATAGATCAGAAAAAGAGTTATATGCCACTCCAGCAACTCTTCATAATGGAAATCATCACAAAGTCCAAGAATGTAAAACTAAGGTGAATATCCTCTGGGGAGAAGCACATATGATAATATTGTTTAGACAATTAGGGGTTTCATCAGCTGTCTTAGTATAGTTTGGTTAAAGAAGAAAGTAATTAACATGCGTTAGTTTTTACTATTAGCCAAGCACTTTGCTAGGAATTTTTACATACATATTAACTCATTAATCATTATAGCAGCCCATTGACACAGATTTTATCTCTGAGTGACTTCTAGATTATATAGCTAATAAGTGGCTGATTCGAGATTTAGGTCTAGGTCTAACACCAAAAACCATGTGTTTTTCACTGTGCTATCTGCTTCTCTAGAGAATATGGGTAATTAAAGTTGAGTTGTTATCACTAGCCTTAGCAAATCCTGCGTTGTAGTGGCAGGCATCAAAATCTAAGATTAAAGCTTTCTTCATTGAGACTATTTATTATTGAAAGTTATTCTTAGTTTCATTATCACTTCCAGAATCAACTGCTATCTACTTTGAGTGATTTGAAGAAGTCCTGTAACTTCCAGATGCTATTTTCTTCGCTAATAAAGAGCCAGATTCAGTGATTATTTAAGTCTTTTAGACTTCAAGAAATTGTATTTATTCAGTATTCACTTGGTACATTAATTAGAGTATTCATTAATAAAACCTTTAAGGAGCTTAGATTTAACTAAGAAATAGGTATTGACTGAGCATTTAGACAGTGGAACTTTGTATATAGCAAGATTTAAAAAGCAACATAGGGTGTTTGTGGAAAATTCATCTTTTAAAAATGTACACAATTCTTTTCCTGGGTTCGTTGTTAAAGGTCAAAGAAGAATGTGGAGCAGGAAGACTCCTCCTTTAATCAGCTGATGTCAATTCAAACACAAAAGTTCTTTCTTATTAATCACAGGCATCTAGCCCACCTACTTGATTCTTTTTAAAACACACTTGCCTCTATAGCCAAAAATGTTATCAGTGCAATAAATGTTATTTTCTAAGTTATTTTTAAAGTCCATTTTATATAAACCAATGCTTTTTCCAAGTATATGATTGGTAGAGAAGATGAAAATCTCAACCTGAAATTACTGACAGAATCAGCCTTTCCTATATTTTAGGTTTTTATTTTAGATCATCTGTAGGAAAAACACTCAGAATGTTTACTAGTGTTAGAGATACGGTTGCTCATTCATTGTTGATCCACCCCATTACACATAGCTAACTTTATTTACCTTGTCACACATCCCACCTTAAAATATAGGTAGTTTCGAAGAGGGTGAGGTTCTCTTTTTGGTGCCATAGATTTAACCATTGTAGGAAACCTAGCTATATCACTAAATAATTTGCCATTTAAGCAACATTTTCATTGTATGTACCATTTTTGACCCTGCAGTAGTTTTAACAAAAATGTGGACTACACGGGAAAATGTAGAACCTCTTAAATATTTTTTCACTTCAATATTGCTTGTACTTTGGTGCTCTATTAGAACAATCATTTCCAAACTTTTTAAGTAGTAGAACCCTATTTATTAAAGAGGAATACCACTCTGTATGTCAAAACAGATAGTAACAGAGCTTCTCTGCTGAGGGGTGGAAAGCAGGGGGCGCTGGAAACCCACCCCATATGTCAGTCTGGTTGCCAGATGACCTCTAAAGTGCTATCACAGAACTCTAGGGTACTTGAGAACAGTTTGATTACTGTTCAGTTGAGGCAGTAATTCTAAAAAAGTGAATTTTTTTCTAGTTCATAAACTCATTTTCCTCAAAAAGATTACCAGCCATAGACATTTTTAAAAATTGAAAGTAAGTGTAGAAACAAATTAATGAATTTATAATCTAATTCAAGTTATTTTTCAAATAAATTTATTAATCATCATTAATACAGTGGATTTAAATAAAATTAAAATTAAATGTAAGTGCTTTTAAATGCTGGATTGCATAATAATAGAGTAATTTTTTTAAAATCACTAACATCATAGTTAAAGTATAAATAACTATAAAAAGCAAATTTAGGTACCATTATTATTTTTAATCACAACTTGAAAAAAGTAAAACATTTTTCAATTTATGACCACAATTTTTGCATACTAAAAACAGTAAATAAAATCACCTCCTGGGTAAAAATGTATGTTTTTCAAAGAGCAGTATAGTTTTTCATGATTTCTAAAATGATTTTCATTTCTTCCTTTTGGGGGAAAAATCGTCATGTAAACAGCACCCTCATCATTTGTCTTTGAAAGAAGAGGCTTCTGATGTGGTTCGTCAAAAGAAGAAGTACCCAAAGAAGCCTAAAGCAGAGGCTTTGATAACATCTCAGCAACCCACTCCTGAGACATTGCCTGTGATCAATAAGAGTGACATTAAGCAATATGACTTTCACAGCTCAGATGAAGATGAATTTCCACAGGTGCTTGTTTTAAAACTATTTTAAAGACATTTCCTTCTAGTCTTTTATATTGCTATATTTTAAAACATAATTGACCTCTTAGTTTTGATTCTTACTTTCTTCACCTAATGTTGTATAGCATAAACATTTTCCACATTATTTATGTAGCCACTCATGTGGTATTTACTTTCCATTATATTCTCTCAGTTGGATAGAATTTATTCTCTGGAATATTTAGGTGGTTTTCAGTGTTCCTTTTTATAAAAATGAATGTTTCTATTTTTTCCGTCTGTATTTAAAGTGGATTATTAGAAATGAAATTGCTGGGACACCTGGTGGCTCAGTTGGTTGAGCGGCCAACTTCAGGTCATGATCTCAACGGTTCATGAGTTCGAGCCCCACATCAGGCTTTCTGCTGTCTCAGCAGAGCCTGCTTTGGTATTTTTGTTTCTCTCTCTCTCTCTCTCTCTCTCTCTCTCTCTCTCTCTCTGCGTCTCCCCCATTCACATTCACATGCATGCTCTCTCTCTCACTCTCCCTCCCTCTGGCTGTCAAAAATAAGTACACGTTAAAAAAAAAAAAAAATGGAATTACTGAGGGGCATCTAGGTGGCTTAGTTAAGAGTCCAACTCTTGGTTTCAGTTCAGGTCATGATCTAATAGTTGATGAGTTTGAGCCCTGCTTCAGGCTCCGCACTGACAATGTAGAGCCTACTTGAGATTCTCTCTCCCTCTCTCTCTATGCTTACTCTCTCACAAAATAAATAAATAAACTTAAAAAAAAAAGTAGAATTACTGAACCCAAAGATTATCAATATTTTAAGATACTTAATACATAATTGTAAATATTCACCAACAATAACCAACAATAATTTTTTTAACAATTTTTTAGCATTTTGTTTTACAATTTTTAATGTAAACTTTGTTTGGGCAATAACCATTTATATTTTTTTAATGTTTATTTATTTATCTAAAGAGAGAGGGAGAGAGAGAGTCTGAAGCAGGCTCCACACTCAGCATGCAGCCTGATGAAGGGCTCAAGATCACGACCTGAGCCGATATCAGGAGTTGGACATCTAACTGACTGAGCCACCCTGGCGCCCCTGGCAATAATCATTTAATTATAAAGATTCCAAAGAACTAATGCAAATTGTAAATCATGAAGATAATTCTTTGATTTATATTGCAACAGTTTATAGCAAGATGTTTGCAATTTTAAAAATCTTTTTTTAAGTTTTTACATTTATTTTGAGAGAGAGCATAGGAGGGGCAAAGAGAGAGAATGATAAGCAGGCTCTGCGCCCATCAGCACAGAGCCCACCCAGTATGGGGCTCAAACTCATGAAACCACAAGACCGTGGCCTGACCTGAAGTTGCTTAACCAATTAAGCCACCCAGGTGCCCCTGCAATTTTAAATTCTTAATTTCACTTTCACAAGTGCTGTTTTTAAAAGACCTTTATGTATCAAAGGATGAATTTTAAAAGATAAATACATATTTATAGTTTAGCACCTGGTCTGGCAACACCCTCTTTTTTCTTGTCTATATGGTATAGTCAATGTAAAGAGAATGCTATAACAAATACATTTTATTATATTTTAACATTTTTATTTCATTGCTTTAAGAGAAAAAAAATTCTAACCAACATTACAGACATTTGGAAACAAACTTTTATAAAACACTTTATGGTTGTAACTATTTAAAATGTAGAATTGTAAAATGTATTCCCTTTGACTAGACTATGTGTTTTTTTTACTCTTTTATCACTAATTTAGTTTTTCTATCCCAGATATTTTAGCATTCGTATGTATTGTAAAATGCACAAATACAGGTTTTAATTTAGTACGCGCTTGAAAAGCACTTAATGAAATAATTGATTACTTTTGTCAAAGGATCATCCAGTTAGACTCAGTGCATTAAAGAGCCATGGGATATTAATTAGGTGGCCATTTTGGAGGAATGAGGAAAATAATGTCCGAACACATAGTAGTTTTCTGATAGAAAGTGTAGGGAGGGCTTCTAGGCAGAGGAAACAGCATGTAAGTGAGAATTGCTTGCAGTTTGGCATTACTGGAGCATAAAATGCAAAGGGGAAGAGAGGTTGAACAGAATGATGCTTGCAGTAGTAGCCAGGTGGCAGATGACTTCTATCTACCATTATACACACTAGAACATTATTAAAGAATCTTAAGTAAGAAGATGACATGGTTTCAGTATATATTAATAATAGCCTTATATTGGTGGTACTGAAGAGAGCCTTTAAAGTTTTGCTGTACACTCCCAGCTCTTAAGAATGACACCAGGGGATATTATGACCTATGGAAACTTTTCCTTTAGTGCTGGAATCAGTCCATCCTCCTGATAGTGGGACACACTTACATATTAGTCATATATTCCTCTCGCATTAGGGGGCTTTTGTTTCTATTCTAAATTCTTGTGTTTATTCATATAGTCCCCAACCTTCAAACCCACATCAAAATTTCAAATTATATTTTGAAACTTTTAAGTTCCTCTTGAGTCCTTTTACTGGGTCTTTGACAACTCTCATCAATTTTTATAATGGTATCCCCTGTCACTGAAGAATAAGTATTTACCTATACAGTTGGATATTACTCAGTGAGGCAGCTATTTAGGCTGGAACTCTTACAAAATCAGGATTTTATTGCTAAAAAGATCTGTAAAATAATGATGTGCTGCTGCTTTGTCCAGTAAACAAGGAAAAAGAGAATAGGGAGACTTAAGAGAACAGACATTTTAACCAGACTTCTCCAACTGATTTGCAACAGAGCAGAATTAAAGCCCTGTCTTTTCTTAATCACATTTCTGATTCTTCTAATGTCAGCTCTCTCTTCCTGTGTCTCAGACTAAGTCCTCGAATCCACTCCTGAAGAATGGTGGTCGGGAGGAAGGGGTGGTATATTTTATGCAAAGAATTTCTGAGATTTTGTGACACTTCCCCTGTGTGTATTTTAGAAGAGGTAGAGGATTTGCAAAGGAACCAAAGTATAAAATTCACATTGGGGATTTCCTTTCAAATTTCAGGTTTGGGGCTTGGTTCCACGGGAAGAAGAATCAGCCCCAGCTTACTGTTTCTGTGTCTCCCCCATAGGGTTGGTGGAGGTATATTGGAACCTCACCAAATGCCTTTCTCCCCTGGATGACCCTGCTCAGTGGTAATTACCACAGTTTGGAAATAATGTGGAGAACACATTTTTCCTCTCAAAATAGGAAGAGAGGGATTTGTGAGGTTCAAAATTTGCAAGTAAATTTGGTTGAGCCAGCGTTGTCAGAAAAAGAGATGTACTCCAAAGTGAAATTGCGAGACTACTGAAACTTAAGTACCAAAACTTTTTTTTTTTTAATTTTAAGCATTATGGGTAGAAATTTATCTAAACCATATTATTTCTCTGCTGTATTAGAGTAATTTGTATATAATTTACTCCGTTTTTGATGACACTTACAAAGTTTGCTCCAAAGTATCAGTGTTGCCCAGGGGTCCACTCAAGTTTTATAGGGATAGTTCACCTAAGATCACATGGTTCCCAGGCAGAGTGCATTTTAATTATGTGACGACTTCTTGAAAGTCTTTATTTTTTTCTTTTGCTGTCAGGCTATGGGCTTATCATTTCTCTTTGCAACCAGTCTGCTTACCTTTAGCAAGCCTTCTGTCCTTTTCTAATTTTTCTGCTTATCATCTGCCAAGTTTAAAACGTGATTTCACTAAACTGTACACCTGAAATACTACATTATATGTTAACTGGAATTTAAATAACTAAAAACTAAAAAAGTGTTTTTAAAAAAGTGAGTAGGGACTCCCTTTGAGAAAAACGTATGACCTTTTATGGCCTTGGAGGGGGCACTATTCATAAACCTTTTTTACTTCCTAGTTTTTGACTTTTATTACAGGGAAAGAAAGTTATTGGAGAAAAATACATCTGCCTATATAGGTGAACCATAACTGTCAAAATAAAAATATTTATGGCCGCATCCATTATTTAGCAAATATAAGTGGGATATATAAAAACTGTACTAATTCTTTTTAAGTACTTAACGTGTTCAGAAGCAATTACACAATACTGTGTTAACGTACCTGCAAGAACTAATCCTTTCAAAATAATCATTTTTAACCATAGAAAATCATTGCTAGCCTTTAGCTGTTTGGGGGGAATTTACTGCCTACTATATGTAACGTAGGCATACTGTTTGTGATCAGATTCTGATTTTAGATTATTACAAAGATTGATCTGTTGACTTCTGATAACTCCTAAATGGAATGTCTCATGCCTCTTTTTTTTTTAGGTACCATCCCCAGTATCAGAACCTGAAGAAGAAAATGATCCTGATGGTCCCTGTGCTTTCAGGAGGCGAGCAGGATGCCAGTATTACGCTGTAAGAATTTTATTTTTTTGTAGTGTTTTTGTGAACCAGATGTTCATAGGTAACTCTTGTCAGGGTAACTTAGTCTTGATCTAAAAATGGGAAGTCCATCAACATTTTTTATTTAATATTGCCTATACACATACCAGTAAAAGATGCTAAAAGGTACTTAGTCCTTTCAGAGGATATCCAAAAATCTCATAATCCTTTACTTGGAAATTGATAATTTAGAATTCTAAATTTTAAAAATTTAGTTTTACTTTGGGCTTTAACTGTAGTTTAGCAGTTATGAAAATTTACTGTCACTGCTAGAGTTAGGTAAGCCCAGAATCTCTAATTGAAGTTTTGATAGTTGCTGTTCATTAAAATTTATTTTAAGCAAGCGCATCCTGTATGTACATACCAAGTAAGTATCAAACATAAAAGAATCATCTTTAAACTCTCCTCATGGCAATATTTTATCTAATAATTATATTCATAACTTTTTGACACACTTAGAAATTGCTTTGTGTTATTAAGTTTTGGTGCAACATTCTATCAGGAGGGACCCTGATTCCCAGATGCTCAGATTTTCAAATAAAGTGTAACTATAGAGTAAATGAGGTATGGCTTGTGGAGACCATTTGCCTTGTTGCATTATGGTAAACATCTACACTTCCAACTTATTTAGGATGTGTGTGTGTGTGTAAGAGTAGTGTAGAAGAGGTAGAAAGTTTTTCACAAGTTACGCTAATGAGAGAAAGAAAAAAATATTATGAAAGGATAGAGAAGTGTTAAGACCCAGAAAAATAGAATAATAAAGGGAATAGGAAGGCAGAGAAATGAACCGTATGTTCTTAAAAGTAAGAAGTGTCAGCCTGACCCATACATGCTTGAAGTACAATTTTTGGTCCAAAAAAACATTTCTTTCTGGTATATCTCAATAGGAAGCTTGTAAATTACTAACTTTCCTATCTCTACTTTTTCTGCCATAGGTGTTAAAAGCCATATTATTCTTTAAAGATATATTTCTTTTAAAATATACCCTAAAATATTAAATACACTTTGAGTTACTTTGGTGAGTGAACTTTTGATTCAGTTTTGTAAAATTTTATCTGGTTTTTTACAGATAAAACAATTTTACAGTTTTATATCTAAATTTTAATTGTTCTGTTAATGCTGAATTTTATTTTTATCATGATTTAACCTTTTTTCTTTTCAGATTTATTCTGTGGGTTTTGATTTTCTTTTTTTTCTTTCTTTGCAGCCTCGTTTGGACCAAGCTAACCACTCCTTTGAAAATTCAGAATTGGCAGATTTGGATAAGTTGAGATACAGGCATTGCCTTACAACACTCACAGTCCCAAGAAGATGTATAGGATTTGCAAGGAGGCGAATTGGCAGAGGTGGAAGGTATACTATTTGTCTTGACCTGATTTTTGTTTTACAAGGTAGAAGGGAACTAATTCTTCCAGATAATATTTGGTTTTATATTGCTTTTCAGGGTCATAATGGACCGAATATCCACAGAACATGACCCAGTCCTGAAACAGATAGACCCTGAAATGCTGAATGGTTTTTCAAGCTCTTCCCAAACTATAGACTTCTCTTCTAATTTCACTCGGACCAATGCTTCCAGTAAACATTGTGAAAACAGACTGTCCCTTTCTGAAATATTAAGCAATATCAGATCATGTCGACTACAGTGTTTCCAGCCAAGGCTACTAAATTTACAGGACAGTGATAGTGAAGAATGTACCTCAAGAAAATCAGGGCAGACTGTGAACAATAAAAGAGTTTCTGCAGCATCTGTAGCTTTATTGAACACCAGCAAGAATGGCATATCAGGTAAGCTGTCACTTTGTTAAAAATATATCCTGCTCTTTTTTCCGACTTAATTTTCGTTATCCACTAAATAAGGGCTCAGGACACTGGGTGTTGTATGGAAACCAATTTGACAATAAACTTCATATATTGAAATAAATAAATAAATAAATAAATAAATAAATAAATAAATAAGGGCTCAGGGTAAATTTTGAAGGTTTATTTTCATAATCCCATCATGGAAAAGAATTTTATCTTAACCTATTATATTTTTGTTTTCCAGCCTAAGAAACTAAACCCTAGTATTGTGGTTCACATTTTAACCAATGTCATGATACCTATTAAACCAGACTTATATTTTGAGTGTGTGGGCGTGGTATGGTGAATGTGTAGGCAGAATGCATAGGAGTTCCCTATGGATAAAGTGGTTATAAGCTGCTACCAGAGTATCATAACCATAGTGTGCATTTGTTAAAGAAAAGTTTCATTTTTGTGTATATTAACTTTGCTCAAATGTAGGCATTGCTCCTCCAGAGTACCATTGAAAGCTTTCTTTCTGAAAAATGATTTTTTAAGAGTCTCCCTATGAATAGTTGTAATTTTGTCTGGTAGCTAACCTCTGATTGAGACTAGAAAGCATTTTTCATTTTAAGAAACACTGTGCTCAATTTAATATTTTTATGACATGTACATTGTAAATAATGTATAGTATCTAGAAAATCTAAAATGTAATTTTGATTTGTTTTTATCTGTGGATAGTCTTCTCTTTATCACATATATAAGTAGGTATAATTTTGAATATCCTTATGATATATACAAACACTGCGTGGTATCCAGAGTCAAAACTAAATGTGACTTGACTCACACTGTTGATATCCTTTCTTCTTGTAAAACGTGAATATTTCTAAATTCTTTCCTGGATGTACATTTTACTAAGTGAAATTATGTTGAACCTCCTTAAAGTGATTTTAAAGCATTTTATTTGGTCTCAGTAGTGTTCAGTCATTTTTAGTTACTGGACTGCTTATTTTCAGACTTGACCTAGACATATATCTGTTCAAAGATTATAATGGAAAATTGGATTTGTTTGAATGATTGGAAGTTGACATGTCATTTCTCCAAATTAGTTGGTTAATTTTCTCTTAAACTTAGGTAAGGAAAATGGCATCCTGTTATATAAGGTTCACAAGTTTGCGAAGTTTAATAAGCTTTCAAAGCCGAAATAAATACCTAATATGATTTGTGGTGGCAGGCTTCTTAGAAATCTAAAGGTAGTAGGAAGTTCATGAATATTAGGTCAGATTTTATTTCTGCCGACTCCAAGACCATGTTCAAATTATTTAACTGAACTAGAACTCCTGTATCAAAAATTACTCAAAATAATTTTTGCCAAAAGAGGAGTTTAAAAACATCTTGGAGCTCCTATGTGGTTCATTCACTTAAGTATCCAACTCTTGATTTCAGCTCAGGTCATGAATTCGTGGTTCATGAGATCGAGCCCTGCGTTGGGCTGTATGCTGACAACATAGAGCCTGCTTGGGATTCTCTCTTTCCCTCACTCTCTGCCCCTCCCCCATTCATGTGCTCACTCACTCTCTCTCAAAATAAACATTTAAAAAATAAAACATCTAAAAATAGGCATTTATAATTAGATTTGACAGTGGATTGAGTTTCTTCTCTAATAATGTGTACCATAGCAAAATAATGATTTTGTTTCATCTCAACTTGAACATAGCCAGATATTTGCAACTTTCTGCTGTACATTGCCAACATACTCCAGAAGGATTTGACTTGACTCTTGTCCAGAAAATATGTATGGTTGTGTATGTTACAGTATCATCAATACTCTGTATGTATTGATCCAGAATACAACTTAATATAACTTAAATAATTCCATAATAGCTACCTGTAGAATTTTGTGACACTACCATACATCAGCATAAAATAAGCATTTAAAGTATCTTAGGCATGCGATGCCTGGGTGACTCATTTGTTTAAGCCTCCAACTCTTGATTTCAGCTCAGGTCATGATCTCACAGTTTGTGGGATTGAGCCCCAAGTCAGGCTCAGTGCTGACAGCACGGAGCCTGCTTGGGATTCTCCGTCCCTCTCTCTCTCAAAATAAATAAGCTTTAAAGTATCTTAGGCATACGTGCACTTTTTAGGTAACTTAAGTGACAAATACGTGATGTTAACATCATAGACAGTAAGGTTTTTTATTTTTTGCCTTTCCCCTACCATTAAAAAAAAAAGTGTTCTTTTTGGTCTGTATTAATTTTTCCTGCCTTACATTTTTTAGTATTCTCAACAGAGTACCATTTCCTTCTTTCTTTGACAAATCTCAAGGCTTAAGCAACAGCTAAGCTACATAGAGTCAGTGTTTTTAAGTAGAATTTGTCAAATATATGTTTAAATCTGTTACTAGAGTAAAGGATTTTGTTTGAAATTTTCCTTCTCTGCTGTGACCATCTAGTCATGGAGGCCACAAGGTTTTTGTTTTGTTTTCAATAAATATGTTAGGTTTCAAAATATTAGGAACAGGTATATAAATGCATAATGGAACAAGTCTTTTAACAGCATTTTTGTAAAAAGTTGAAAAGCTCTGACAATTTTAGGTACCCATTTGCACCAGTGTATTCCATTACAATTCAGTAAATTTTGATAAGAATTCTTTCATCTATCTAAAGAGAAGGATGTAGGAGTTTTTAAAAAGTTACATTTTTATATTTGATGGACAGAGACAAAAGAATTGAATCTTTGTAGATTTGATTTCTTTTAATCTTTGTCTTTATTAATACTGTTGCCTTCTGCTTCTTCTTAATGGACCTGGTCATGAGAGCATGTGTGTCTTTAAGAGTTTAACAAAACTGACACAGGACCATATTTTTATGTTGCAGAGTATGTCACTGATCTTGGCAATTAAAAGTACTGAATTTTCTGTTTCACAGCTGGGAAATCTCAACAAATAAAGGGTTTAATCAGAAGTAGAAACTGCGGCTGCCTGGGTTGCTCAGTTGGTTAAGAGTCCTACTCTTGATTTTGGCTCAGGGTCATGATCTCAAGGTTGTGAGATCGAGCCCTGCATTGGGCTCTGGGCTGGGTGTGAAGCCTGCTTAAGATTCTCTCTTCCTCTCTTGGGG